AGATTGCAATGGTAGAAGCATCAGGGGAAGCACCATCACAAAGTGCCTGGTAAAGCAATATGTGAAAAAATAATTAAATGGTAGCAGCAACGAGAAGCATAATTGAATAGTAACTTCAACAATTAAATTGTTGCCACAACAACCACCACCAAGCAACAATGCAACAATAGTAGAAGTCACGCGATGTTGCCAAATGAGTAGTTAGACAGTGACATCAGGGGGTTTTTGGATTTGGGAACTCCTGCTATAATACTCACGCCGAACTTCATTTGTAATATAAGCCACAGAACACATGGCTGTGATCTTATGTATGGCGTTAGGTAGAGAGGAGAGGAGAACCGGAAATGGAGTGATGGGATAATTTTTTTTGCTTTATGCAAAATTTCAAATGTTTAAATCAACAATTACATCAAAGTTAAATATAATTCATACCTTATTAAACTACAAAAAAAGAGGAAACTATATCTATAATAGCAACCTATATAAGTTTAAATTAAAATAATTCTAAAAGGAATTTTTCTAACCATTAATTACAAATTCAAAAACAAGCCTATCCTGACAAGTTAACAAATTCAAACTCATTCGTATAGCTTTTAATTGACCATTTGACTGTACCTATAGACTCCTAGTGACATACTCTTTAGTTTCATTGGTGTGATTTGATAATCAACACCAACAATAGCTTTTGTAAAAAATGGACTATTAAAAACTTCAATGAGCAAGATCTATTCAATATTTCTATGATATAATGCTCAAATTATGATTATAGATTATTTGATTAATCACACACTAGATTTGACTCGTTCAAGATTGATCTAAAACACTTCGATTAAGATGTTGATGAAACTGACATACTCTTTAGTTTCATTGGTGTGATTTGATAATCAACACCAACAATAGCTTTTGTAAAAATGGGACCATTAAAAACTTCAATGAGCAACATCTATTCAATATTTCTATGATATGATGCCCAAATTATGATTATATAGACGCTCTTTTGATATGTTTGTTTTCCACTATTGATTTTTTTTTTTATTTGGTTTCATTGGTCAACACTATTACAGAGATAGGCCCCTTGAAGATCAATACTATAATAGGATGATTATTTTGATACGTAGGCTCTATCTCTTTGCCATCTTGCTAGGGAATACTTATATTCATACGACAATTTATCTCAAATCTTACCAATAGACGAAACTCTTAATAGTACTGACAAATTTTGCTTTTAATAGGATGATTGTTGTTAGGAAGTCTCATGACATCATGCAGACTTACCTGATGCACTCGTGTATGATTTGACTACCTAGATCTTAGGTAAGCTCTCATTCTTTATATGACTACTCTCAATAAGTCTCACAACACTTTTTTAGCCCAAGGCGACGAGCAAGGAAACATGATTGCTTTATATTATCTTAGTTATCATTTGATTTCAATAACAGTGAAGTCTCCAACCTTCAAACACTACCCTTGCACTGTTCTTTATTGTACAACAACTTTGTCATATTCTTTTCCACATCATCAGCCTCTTGCCTAGAGTTTTTAATATCTATAGTTTTGGATCTTCTCTAGATGGATGCAATCACCACTAAAACAAAAAAGTTATTATTTTCTTCCATTTGGAGATTAAGGTTTTGTTGTTGTTGTGTTAAATTCTCTGACATTGAGTTTTCAATGGATAGGGAGAATTTGGGAACCTAGAGAAAAGAGAAGCTCCAACAAAGCTATTATTTTCTTCCATTGCTTTAATCTCTATGAAATCAATATCAATCTCAAAATTGAAGTCTCTTTGAAAGAAGATGGCGGAGATGACAGGGTCCGTCATCAGTAGGAGGAAATGCTAGAGCTGTCTTTAGTTTAGTGAATCAATCAGCATGTGAGGATATTTACTTTAACCTTACTATCCATGGATTCAGTCGTAGGTTTAGCAATTAAGGAATCCCCACAACTAGTTAGTCATACCAAAGTTAGAGGTTTTTGTTAAGTTCATTGTCCTTGGGTTCAAAAGATAATGTAAAACTCGAGGATTAAAAATCAAATGAATTAATAGAATAGTTCTTTGATTGTTGTCTCATTTGTGACAAAAATCTTATTGCTCGTTGATTGATACCCTCCACTTGGTCTAAAGTTAAAGCACAACATCTTGAAGAGCCTTTGAATACTATAAATAATAAACGAAAATTCAATGCAGATGTTGGTTTTGGTACTATTGGATCTGTGGATGATAATAGTTATTGCTTTGTCATTTCACATATTCTTGAGTCTGAGAGATTCACAATAGAAGATATGAACACTTCTAACCAAGTCTATTATGAAACTTTAGACGCTCTAGATGATCTTTAGATTAGGGATGCAACTCCTGTACTTAAAGAATAAATTAAATCAACTGTGAACAAATTTAGAGAAATCAACTTGGATTTCGATGAAAACCCATCCTATTTTTGTAAGTTATTCATTGAGGATGACTCTAACGATC